TGATTACGCTGGAAATCATGTACATGGCGACGACTTTCAGAATAAAAATTGTGGACAAAATTTTGGAAGCATTAAGGCTGACAACATACAAAAGTGACCTTGAACCTGAAAATGGCTTGTATGGTGTATGTCTATGAGGAGCATGAGAACGATGAGCATGACTACGACAAGAAAATAAAGGGCTTTGGTAGAGGTTGCTATGAATTTTCCAAACTTGCTATAAATTATTAAATTGACATATGCCAGAATAACTATAATAGTGATTTTAATTATTATTTGGCCATCAATTTTCCAAACTTGCTATGTACTATTGAATTGACATCTGCCAGAATAACTATAATAGTGATTTTAGTTGTTATCTTGTACATATTACACACTTGTCCCCTGTTTTTTGACAAAAGTAAAACACCATATTATTTACATTTCTCAAAGTTTGAAAAATTCGAACTTTCAATAAAGTATACATAGAAAAATAGCTCAATCGTTTGATAATATGGAATTTCCATTGTCATGTGATTCAAACACAAGTTTGAAGGCCTCTTTCTAGTCCACATGCCAAATTAAAAAAATAATAAATAATAAAAAATGGAAATTTTTTTTTTTTTTTTGTGAACATGCATTTTATGTTTAATGCAAAATAAGGGCTTCTTAGTTATTTATAAATTTTTTTTAGTGAGAATACCGTCAAATTTTGATAAGGGCTGCCTCCACCTAAACCCATCGGGTTTTGACTTCTTTGTTCTTGCTTTATTGAGATATCAACTCTGTCCAAAATATAGCGTAAATAAAATATTTGAGATAAACAATTATCTAAAAAGTAATATGCTCTTACTTATCACATATGCCAAACTAGCTCCTAAAACACTGATTTGAGTTGATTGAATCATGTACATGCCTTCTTAAGAAAACATGGATTGTTTGGCTCATGTATGATCCATGATCTGCCTAATTTTCAATCATTTAGATACAATTAATTATTGAACTAGAATTCTTCACGTGTGCATATTCTGCATATAAATATCGCTGCATGCACTTGCTAAAAAGCCACTGATTAGTTGCTGGAAACGGTGGAAACTCAAAGACAGACCTTCATTTCTTTGATACTTCTATTATTTTTGAAAAAATGTTTGCCTTCACTACCTTAATGATTTTGGCTCATTGCTGTGGTTTTATAAGTTGTGTATTTTTATTTCAACAGTCTCCACACGCTTTCGAACATAAGGATATCTTCATATTAGCGGGCCAAAGCAACATGGCTGGCCGAGGAGGTGTGAAGAATCGTAATTGGGATCATATTATCCCTCCTGAATGTAGTTCAAAGCCAACGATCCTTCGGCTTACCGCAACGCTAATGTGGGAGGAGGCACACGAACCTCTACATGAGGACATGGATCCAAATAAAACTTGTGGGGTGGGACCTGGATTAGCGTTTGCCAATTCACTGCTGGGACGAAATCCTAGCATAGGGGTAATTGGTTTAGTCCCTTGTGCCTTCGGTGGATCAAGTATAGAGCAGTGGAAACGAGGCTCGAAACTATATAATCGACTCATAAAGAGGGCTGAGGCAGCGCTACTAGATGGAGGGCAGATTCGTGCACTTCTATGGTACCAAGGTGAGAATGATACTATAAATAAATCGGATGCCGAACTGTATAAGATGCGATCGGAAGAATTTTTCATCGATATCCGCACCGATTTAGCTTCCCCAACCCTCCCAATTGTTCAGGTAATTTTATTCGTCTAGTTTATTACATGCAGTTTATTATTTCTCTATTAGAATTAGCGAATTTTCACCCAACACTATGGTTATCCATATAGGTGGCGTTGGCATCAGCACTAGGACCATATATCGACATAGTAAGAAAGGCCCAGCTTGGAATTGACCTTCCAAACGTCACATGTGTAGATGCCAAAGGACTGGAGTTGATGGAAGATGGAGTGCACCTCAAAACTTCAGCACAAGTCTGTCTCGGGAAGATGTTGGCGGATGCCTTCCTCTGCTTGAGACTCGTGTGAACCTCCCTCAAGCCATTTTTATACTACACTAACAAAGACGCTTTAAGCTCTTACTCTTTTTTATTAAATTTTCCGAGTCATTTATAACCATTTAACATTATCTCTTCCAAAATCTCAAAGATACAGAAAAACCTTTTGTTCAAGAAATTACACATAGTGAACTAGTGAACATTTTACATGCCATATAATGGTTTTGTTGGTATTTTGTGTAACAGTCGTATCAATTAATAGACCATTTTGCATAATTTCTTCCATAAAAACTCGTATTCCATGGACCTTGGATTTATATATATGAGTAATTTAATGAGATTAAAATGGACGTTTTGATAATATTTCATATTGTTTCTGGAGTAAAACAGAGATTTAAATACTATCATTCAATTGCCAATATGCCCCTATCAGTCTAGATTAAAATGATATTTTAGTACATTTTAATCAAAATTAATGAAATACGTAGTTGAAAAGTTGTGGTTGCTAAATTTAGTTACTGACTTTTATTGAGATCAAAATTAGATTTTAATATGTAACAAAAACAGGCATAGCCCATTTTAAGTGTTCAATGAAAAAACAATGTGGCAGGGCAACATGACAAATAAAAAGTCTCATAAGATAAAACTCACTCCAGAGAATCGACGTCGTGTTGGAGCCATATCCATTCAATGTATCTCCATACTTTTTACCATTTGCTTTGATGTATGACTAAATTAGGAAGTTTTAAATTTGAAGTAGAATGACAACTAGATATATTAATGATTATGAACTTAGATACAACACCACAATAGATTTTGTCAACCGTCTAAATGTTCATGCACCCAAAAGGGACTTTCCTTGACAATAAATTAAATTTGATTCACTCTTTTGACGGGCTTACGTGCTTGATGTTCATTTGAGCTTTGGCTCAAGCCTTTGTCGAGCCGAGCCACTTCACTGGCTTTCCTTTTTTTTATTTTTTATTAGTTTCTACTCAAATATACAAAAAAAAATGATTGTTTATTTATAAACAACAAAATTAATTTAAAAGATACAAAAGTAATTAAGTTAGTGGCTGAATTTTACAAAATAAGATGTCATTAATCTACAAATAAAAAATGAGGAAATTGTACCGTCCCCGGTGATCTAACTTTATAGTGTAAAAAACTGGTATGACGTTTTGTTATTCACAAATTCGTGATGAATATGATCATTAAATATCTCCTCCAATCCCAACCCTAACCATTTCAATTCACCCTCTCTCTCTCTCTCTCTCTCTCTCTCTCTCCCCCCCCCCCCCCCCCCCCCCCCCCCCCCCCCCCCTCCTCTCCATCTTCATTACTAGGCACCAATGCTTATATAAGTTATGAAATAGAAAGTGGCACCAGAACAATCATCTGACGATGATGCTAACCATGACCATCCGGCAACAACAGCATCATTACTGCTGGCGCTTTGAGATCGGCGTTGCTAGACAACTAATTTTGGAGATTTGTTGTAGAAATTTGAGGCGGTGGCGACAGAGGTAGTGGATCTGATAATTGGGTTGGTTTTTGTTGGTGACTGCACTGTGTTTGCGGCGTTGCTTGACGGCAAATTTTGGAGATTTTTCATTGAGGGAATTTGAGGCGGTGACGGTAGCTTGTTGGATTTGGTGATGGTTTATGCCGACTCCTCTAGCGACGACTTCTTGATCGCCGTCGTGTGAATATTGATCTGTCGGTATCTGAATGGTGTGAATATTGATCTTCTAGTGGTGGCTGTAGCGGTATGACGCGGTGTGTTTAGATCTGGATGGTGGTGGTGATAGTGTTTGGATGGTGGTGCGGCAATATTGTGTGGTTTACGGGGGTGGTCGTGTTGGCAGTGGAGACGTTGGTTATGTGTTGTTGGTGTTTTTGGTTGCGATGGTCGTGGTGGTTTTCCATCAAATTCGGTATTTGTTGGTGTGTGTGTGTGTGTTGGTGGCAGTCGTGGTGGTTTCTGGTGACGAAGGTGGTGGTTGTTGGTTGTGGTTGCCTTGATTTTTGTTTTTGTCGGTGTAGGAGTTGGCATCGATAATGGGGTGAAGGTGGTTGCAAGTGCCCGTGACGTCAATGATGGTGCAATAGTGGTGGTAGTGGTGGTGGTGGTCTGTGACCACTATTTGACGAGTGTGACCAACTATTTAGTTATCTATGATCATGTGACCTTGGCGACGGTAACGGGGTGAGGGTGGTCGTAAGTGACTCTGATGACAGTGGCAGTGCGATAGTGTTAGTGGCGGTGGTCTATGACCACTATTTTACTTATGTGATCATCTGTGACTAAATATTTAACTGTCATCATTGAAGATATGTGACCTATAAATTTTTAGATTTGTGACCACAAAAATAAATTGTGACCTATAAATTTTTAGATATGTGACCATCGAAATAATCTGTGATCCATAAAAAAAATTATTTTTGACCCCAAAATAATCTGTAACTAATTAATTTAATAATATGTGACTAATAAATAAATTGTGGCCTAAAATTTTGTATCTGTGACTATTAGTTCTATAATTGTGACCTTATTACATTTAATTAATAAAATATTTTTAATTAATAAATAAATACCTGCTTTTTGCACTTTTAAATTTCAGACTTGAAAATTGAATTGGTGTAAACAATACACCTAAATTATGAATTTTTTCCACAAAAAATTTTGTTTATAGTGTGGCCACACGGGCCCATATACGAAAACCCACATTTGGGCTCATGGCCAAGCCTTAATTTATATAAACGAGCCTTGTGACAGTTTGACTCGAGCTTTTTTTTCAAGTCGTGCCACGCATCGCTCGAGCTGATGGGCTCGTTTGCCACCACTAGACACAAATCACCATATATGTATTCTTGAGACTCATGTGAACCTCACTCGAGTCATTTTTTTTACTATGCTAACAAGGATCTTTTAGGTTCTTACTCTTTTTTAATTAAAATTTTGTGACCATTTACAAGTTTATTTTATATATACATTTGACTATATGATTGATGAGTGTAATTCAATCATTAAACTAACACCTGTAAATCGAGTTTTTGGTTTGTTCTTGAGCACTTTTGAACATTTTGATATGCGTATTCATGTTGTTTTGTAGCTTAGACAACTTCTAAGGAAACGCCATATTTTGGAGTTGTGATGAAGCCGTAATGAAGATCATAAAATTCTAGTGTGAAATGAGGAGAACCAAATGAGAAGGACATGACAACGAAGCGTAAAAATTGAATAAAACAAGAAGAGGCAGCTTCATGGATGTCGTGATGTTGAAATTGGGCGCCCAAGGAAAAGAAAGAATCAACAGAAAGTTGGGCGAAGCGACGCCCAATAAACAAACAAAAAAATTATTTCAGCCCAACGAAAAAAAGGGAAAAAGAGGAAAGTGCAAATTTTTTGGCCTAGATCCAATACTACGAAAAAGACCAAGAAAAGAGAGATTTTTCTGGCATTGAAAAAGAAAACTCAAGGCAAAAACAAGAGATCAAGAAATTCAATGAGGAAGATCTACAATCATTGGAAGAAGATTCAAATCATCAACTGAGCTTTTCTATCTAATCTCTTCTTCTTCATGTTTGTTTATATGTAATTAGAATATTATTTCCATATATCATGAACTAAATTCTTAGATCTAGGGTTGGTGTAACCTAATTTTTTGGTATTTATTTGTGTTATTCATGCTTATTGCTTTCAATCACTTGATCAACGGTTGAATGAATTGATGTATTGAATTTCAGCATTCAAGAGAGGGAGATTTGATCTTGATCTACGAATGAAACATCTTAGATTTCGTGGATTACGAGAGAAAGTACGAATTCTTTGAGGCTTAATTCCAATTAAGATCCAAGGGCTTGATAATTTTTATTGATCTAATCTAGAATAGAGATATTGAGATTAGAATATAGAAATAAATTTGGTTCGGCACTCGAGAGAGGGAATGGGATTAGTTTATGGTTCTTGCCTATAAATCGAGAATAATTTAGAGAATTAACCATTAAGATTGAAAGGCATTGTTGATAGGGCGATAACATCATTCCCTAGACCTCCTTGCATTGATTATTTCTATATAGTTCATCTTGAGTTATTTGAATTGCCATTTTTTTTTAACAATATATTAATTTAGCATAAACTTATCAAGTCAAAAATTGGTTTTGTAAATAAAGTAGAAGTTAAAATAATTATAATATTCGATAGGAATCAAACAACAATCCCTGTGGGTTCGACAATTCAAATACATCACTATATTACAAAACTCGACACCGTATACTTGCGGTTAAATCACGTTGCATAAAACGCGTGGCAATGGTTATTTTATTTTTTAGTTGCATTGTTTCTTTCGAAAAATATTAAAATTATTGAAAAATCTTTGCATATATTGAAATAGTATGAGAGTTCAGCCTCACCATTAGAGTTCATATTCCTCATAAGGGTTCGGCCTTTGATGGGGTTTGACCTTTTCAAAGAGATTCAGTAGATATACCACATAAGTAAGGTAATGTGGAGTATAGATCGAGGTTCGCTAATTTCATGGCAACCATGTGGCCATCATTTGGAGGCTCGCCGAAATGGGCATAACAATAGGCCCCCAGATCCGTATATGAATTCAGATAATGTATGGACATTTGGGTCAAAGTGAATTCATGCTGTGTGTTTTGTTTTATAAAGAGGCTGTTATAATGTAACCCAAATTTTAGTGGGTATTAGAGTCTTAGTTGAACTGGTCTTGACGAGATCAAAATTAAGAACTAGGAAGAAAAGTTGTCGCATAGCCACTAGCTAGACACTTGAGTTACACCAATAGATTTTCAGCAGAAAGTTCTCACTCTGTCTATCTTCCACTTGACGCTCAAGCGGTGAGGCTGTCGCCCGCCTAACACTTGAGGACAGGGTTTCTCGAGTTTCATGTATTAACGCACTTGGACTCCTATTTATATTCAACTTATATATATATATATATATATATATATATATACCATTATATGTTACTATATTGAATGAAATTAAAAGAGGGTGGAATATACATGTTACTTGATGCTCAACTAATTTTGTGACATTAGTAATTATCATTCTTCACGTTATTCATTCAAGTCTCTAAGGTTGTCATTCAACTTTTACGTGTATTGATAATTTCCATCCATTTTAAAATTCATTTTAACAAATTGGTAATAACAGTTATGAGAATAATGTTTCCAAGAGAAGTTTTATATTTTAAACATTATATATATATATATATATATATATATATATATATATAAGCCTGGGCTTTTATTATTCCCAT